GGGGGGGGGCACGGGCGGGAAGATCTGAGCTAGTTTCCAAAAAGCACTACTTCTCTAGGGACTTTCCAGGTCTATCACAGGCAGGCACAGATGCTCTCAGAGGAGAAGAGTTTAGGGACCTTGCTAGAACTGACCTGACTAAGATCAAAACAGCTCCCGGACTACAAACTGCAGGTACTCAATGCACCCAGGAGGTAACATCAGGCCAGCTCTATTTAAGGAGCTTAAATATATGTTTCCAGAGCCTTAGAAGCTCACACAACATTCTGCTCCTCTGGCTCTGGCAAAGCCGCCTGTATCGGGTGGCTGATGTTTACGAGAGAAGCGAATGCTGCCGAGCCCTTGCAGTGACCGACTGCAGAAGAGAGGAGTTAATTGCAGCACTGGGGGAAGGAACAAGCTAAAACCACAGTGGTAGGTGCTTGGTTTTCCTAGTGTTTGTATGCCCATGGGTCACCTGCAGCGTTTGTACTTGTAAAACATTCTTTTTAGTGCGACAGCCAGTTTTACCCAAACCCCAGGAGGTCCCAAAACCTGCACTTCACCCTCAGCCCTGGTTCTGCTTGTGAATTGCTGTGCTAGGTCCCTGGATTGGTGCAGAGGCAGGAGCTGTGATATGAACCTCAAGACCAAGATGAGAAAGGCTGCAAGCAAAGCTGCCTCTCTGCCTCAGCTACGCAAGTCCTTTGCCAATACATTGGCGTGTCCCAGGCTCCCACCAAAACCTGCTTCAGAGCAAAGGCTGACCGGCCGCAGCGTGGTAAGGACCAGGAGGAGCTGGCAGTGCCGGCCACCTCTTCCCACAGCACAAGGACCTGCCTGGAGCCTGAGGCCAGGAGACTGACATCCCAGTCAGTCTTGAAGGACTGCACCCCCTCCCTGAACAGGTTTTTTCCTGGTAATACTCTGTATTGGGATAGAATGTGCAAAACAGATTTAGGAAAGCATAAGACAGTCCTATTATCAACTCAGCAGGTCCATCAGTAATTAAGAAAATATGATTAACAATATCCCTGGGAGAAGAGACAACACAGATCAGCTCTTAAATACCGGACAGGAGGAGCTGAGGAGTGAGCACACATCCTACCCAGCCTGCGCACAACCCTGTCCCATCCCAAGGAGCACGTCCCGCCGCAAGGACAGAGTCTAGCCAGCAAGGCAAGCAACCATCACCATAACACAATTACCCTCAGATGCTGTTAGCAAGGAATACGTTTATTTTTAAGACTTAAAACCATTATTATTAATAAATAGTTTGTTTCTCAGCATGCCACACCCCACCATGGCAAGATGGTTTGGTCTTTCTGTTTGTTTCCACTCCCCCCAGAATCTGGGAGCAGGAATCACTTAATTTCTAGCAGCCCAAACAGAACACCCCCACCCCAGCTTCACAGCAGCACGAGTCAGGAACAGTTACCTGTGCACTGAGATCAGGTCTGCTCTCCCCTTGCTCTGTCACAAGCCTGGCGGCACTAGAGACAAGCGAGCCTATTTTCCAGCACTGGTTTAAGGAGATATTTTTCTAGCTTCAAGGTGCAATAAATTAAGGCACCAAAAATCCAGGACTCTCCAAAGATAAAGCCTGTGCAGATAGGAAGTGGTTCCAGTTTAAGAGAGATCTTTCTCCTACAGCATGACAAATATTTGCAGGATTTTAGAGAGGAAGCCCTGCTTCCACATGTTTGTAACTTCACAAAGGGGTTTTTCAGGGTATATTATGTGCTGCAAAAGCGCACCAGCTCACAGGTAAGTGAGACAACAGATAAACAGTGTATTACTGAGACAAAGTGACATCCTAAGATTTCAGATTGGACAACTCACAGCATTAGCCCAGTCTTCAGGGCCCAGCAACACTAGTGGGAAGAGACGGGACTATGCAAGCTCCAAGCTTGGGACCCCGGAGCTTACTGAAAGCCTAAGGGAACAGCTCAGTTATTCCCTGGTGCTGCAAACTACAGGATCTAGATAACTACAAAGTAAATCATCCGACCTCCACTTTTTGTCAGTGCTGCTAGCACAATTTTGCTATCTATGGGACATGCTCAGATAAGTGTTGTGTCCCATTTTAAGATTCCCTGTAATTCTTGTGCAAGTGTGACTTAAATTTATCTCCCTTCATAATTATATTTCATTAAATAGCAAGAGTCAAAAATTCAAGCACAGCCCAAGTCATTCGTACACTTAGGTTTTTTCTCTGTACAACATCAGTAAAATATATAGGAGTAAGCTACTTTATTAAATAAACTCTGAAAATCATTTGCCCCCTCTCCCAGATTAGCCACCCTTCCCAGACACGTCATAGCCATACAGACACATGAGCATACAGACGTTCAGCCAAGCCCTCCCACGATGTCAGCCCAGATGAACACACCAGCTTGCTCCTCGCAGGGCGTACCGTGATCGAGCTACCCTGACGTTGCACCCCATGCATGGTGAATGCGTGAGCTTGCCTCAGGATTTCAAGTCTCATAGGCAGCATGACAATGATTCAAATTTACAAAAGAAAAAGCATTAAATAGCAGTTAGTTTGCAGGTTTCCTAAAGCAGGAGGGGTCTTCACCTGCAGAAGGAAAATGCTGTGACCAAGCTTCTACGAACCATGTTGCACAATAATCAGTGTATAAGCGACTTTGTTCCCATGGTAGATTACATATGCACAATCTGCTGTGCTTGTTCGCTTCCGGATGCAGCCTTTCCAGAGCCTGGGTTTAAGCTACACTCTTCATTCAAGCACAGGTCTTCATTAAATAAAGTGAACCGAAAAGAAAATCAGCATTCAGTCTTCACCACCCCACTCTAACTCAATTGAAAAACAAATTAAAAAAACAAAAAGTCAATGCAAACATGTCTTTTACAAATGGACAGTAAACAAATATATCCCTGGATGAGACATGCAGCCGCTGAGGACACTGGTTTTGAAAAATAAAGGGATATTTGGAAGGACCCCACCACACACACGCCTGTCAGCTTTCTGAAAGTGCACACACAACCAACAAAACACTTATTAAGGTGCTTCTCCAAGCGATGGATTTGCTGCCGTCGATGGTCTGGCGGGAAGGGAGATGTGCAGACTGAGCCTGGCTGCACTGCTACAAAAGAAGAGGCTCAGGCAGCATGCAATGACCCAGTAGAGCCGACCTGAAACAGCAAGTTCATCCTGGTAGGAAGAGGGGGGAGTTAGGCAGGCTAGTGTAAGCCACTTTCTGCTGCCGATCAGAGCCCAGACCCCACTTCCAGGCAGGGAACGCACGTGGACAGACAGGAACACAGTCCAGATGTGCTCCCAGGTACCCACAGCTCGAGTGGAGGTATGCAGAAGCCACCTTCCCACTCTTACAGGAAATTGAGCCCCGATTTTCTAAGCCCCCCAAGTAGAATATTACTAGACATTTTGTGTGTTGTTCTTTTTTCCCCCTCTTAAAAAAAAAGGTGCAAGTATTTGCCCAAATAGGTGAATGCAGGAAGGCAGGACAGAATGCTGCAGAACTGTCACCATCTGCTCCCTAAGTACCAGCCCAGGACAAGGGCTGTCTAGCAGGATTAGGGACAGACAGGATCTCCCCCGACCATCAGGATGTTCCCCAACCTTGTAGAAATCAGCTGTTATGTTGGTTTTGGTGACAGGTCAAGATGCTTTGCTCAGGTAAAGCCATTTGCATCCCCAACCAGCTTTACCTGAGCAAGAGCTGGAGTTTGAGGTTTCACTGGGAACATTCAGCTGGTCTAATATACAGTAATAGTGACCTGAAAGGCTACCCTCCTCGTCCAGTTTCACCCAAAACTGAAAGCTTGCATTCAAACAGCAGCAGGGGCTGCCCCGCACCAGTCCTGCCCTGGCTGCACTGGATACCGTGCGTACTTTGCCCTGATGTCTGTCCAGAGGATAGGTTTAGATCTGTGGTGATGGTTGAAGTATTTACAGGTATTTGCAGCAGTTATTTACAGTACTTCTGCAGACCGCAAGCCGATTTTCTCTTCCTCCACTCCTAGTCAATCTGGCGTGGGCTTCTTTAAGGAGAAGGGCCGTATATTGAAGTGCCTGCTCAGCTGGCTTACCTGGGGACAAGGCAGACACCAGGACCACGTTAGCGAGGCTCGGAAGGACAAGGAGGAAAGCGGGCAGAGTGCCAGACTGGTTCCCAGTACAGCTGACAAAGCCCCACCACCTTCCTCCACCCACTTTCCCCACCATTGCCCACCCTACACACTCCCGACGAGTGCAGCAGATCTGGACCACAGCCTCTGTCTTGTGCTATGGGGCCAGCCAGGCTGCCCGCCCCAGGAGCCGAGCCCTGTCCCTGCCAGCCCGACGCTGAGGCCAGCCAGACACGTGGTTCCGCAAGGTGCAGCCTTGCTCCCTTCCCGTGTAACAGCGTGGTCTATCCAGGAGCAGGCTCACCTCTGTTCCTGCCCTCCTCAGGGGCAGGATTCAAAAACACCTGCCCTGAGCCCAGGCACGCAGGATTCTACCCTGTACTGCTCCCTCTCTGCCCCTCCCAGCAATATTTTTATTATTTTGCTTAAATTAATATGATAATCTCAGATATCTATATGAAAAATCACTCCCTGAATCCATTTGCAATTCAAACTGGGGGTCGGGTACTTTGCATTGACCATGAAGACACACACAGGAGGGCTACAGAGAGGGGGGAACCCAACACCAGGTTTTGGATAATCAGGTCCCTTTTACACCAGTCTTTGGAAGAAGCATTCACCACCTCCTTTGCAGACATGAGAAAACCACAGAGGAGCGAAAGCTGCACAATGCAACGAGCTTTCAGGCATGGTTCAGAGAACCGCAGACAGAAGGATAAACGGATGGTGCGGCACTGGCATCTGGTGACTGCAAGGTAACAGTCATTGCAGAACCAAGAGCAAGCAGTGCTGAGCAGCATCGGAGGCTGAGCTGGGCACAGAGTCAGGGCAGAGGGTTTATTCCTAATCATTACTCCCAAATTCAGAGCAGTTTGGGATTATGTCCCAGTCCCAGAGCCTTAAAAGGCTCTTCAGCTCAAAGTTTCTTTTTTCCTGGAAGAGAAGACTGCACAGATGGGCCCTTGGAAAGCTGGAGGGGGGTAACGAGGGGAACACAAGCTCAGGGCAGCAGAGCACTAAGAAGCTCACTGCAGGGGATGGGCAAGCCTGGGCAGGAGGATTACACCATCCGCTCAGTCCCCATCTCCAGCTATGATTCCAAGACCAAATTTATTTAAGCTTCTTAGCTATTCAAATCCTTCTTGCACAGAAGCCTCATTACACTAATTGGAAAGACAAGACAACCTGGCTATTACTTCTTTGCTGTAATTACAGTTCAAACTCGACTCTGGAGGCTCCACGTTACAGCTGGGGTTCCCAGGAGACAGGGCTTCCCAAGGAGGGTGTACACACGTGGCAGCAGCCAGCTCTGTAAGGGACATCGGGTCCCTTGCCCTCATTCCTCAGCAACTTCCTGGGGCATTTCTAATGGGACTCGGTCTCCTCTGAGTTTGTTCTCTCTCTTAATCAAAACTCAGGGAGTCAAGCAGAGCTGGTACAGAGCAAGGGGAACAAATCAGTCCCTGGATCTCTACACAGCCCTTGCAGCAGGGGAAAAGGCATTGCAGCTGCAGTGTCCCCACCTTCCCTAGCAGGGACATCCCCCCCTTCCATCCTGGCTCTCCTAGTGACTCCAGCGCAGGGCACGTCAGCGAGGTTGCAGTTCAAACTTGTCAACCAAAGTAATACCAACAGCAGTTTAACTTTCTATACCAAGACTCCCAAATTAAGCACTCCTGCCCAATGTGCAGGCACAGTATCTGATGCTCTGGGTACGTGCTGGAGTCACCCTTCCCAAGGGTGCAGGTCACCCACGCTGGCTTACATCCAAGCTGGTCACTAAGCCACGAGCGCAGCCAGGATGAGTTAAACACGGTGGCAGAGATGCAAGTATTTGTTTCAAACTAATCTCCGGTACAACAGCCCTCTCCGTCACATTGGATGACGCTTGCTTCAAACCCATGCACCAGTCTGCACGAGCCTCTGACAAGGAAGTCAGCTCAAGTTTCATATGGTCACAGACAGCATGACAAGAGAGCCATTCCCACTGACATTCACATTTTTAAGTGGACTATTCTCTGCCCCAGACAACAGCAGCACCCAAGCAAAGCCTGCAGTCAGAGCACGGCAGCCAAGCCCGAAGCCCACGTGCCGAGTTCACCTACCACGACCACTCCGTAGTGGATGTGCGCCAGGGTGAGGAAAGCAGTTAACAAGTAGAGGAGAAGTGTTTCGCTGTTTGGCGCGAACCCGGACATCACCACGAAGAGCACTGCTGCTATGGGGAGCAGCATCCAGTTCAGAGGCTGGCAGCGCGTGCTGCTCATCTGACAGACAATCAGTTGGCACTGCAGGAAGAGAAAGCTATCAGAGCTTGCACCCAGTATCAACGCTGCAAGCCCAGAGCTGTCCATAGTTGCAGAGAGGATGGTCACACACATACATGTACCAATCGTCTGCGCTTACAGCTACCATCGTGCAGTTTCCCCGAGTTTCTCACTCAGGATCTTTCTTTGCATTAGAATTCCTGTGGGAGACACAGAGCAAAGCCTCATGGGACAGGAATGTAATAGGGAAACAGGCATCAAGGGCATCTTTAAAAGAAAAAGGAGTTCCCTTGAGCTGACCAAGCCTTATCACCATTACGTGCACGATCAGCAGAAAATCCTGCCAAGCAGCAGCGTGAGCTGCTCGACCCAGGGCATGCACACACAGAGCTGCTCAGCCATGCGTCTGAGGTGATGAGCACAGGTGCCTTTGTTAAGGTCTCAAGCAAGCACAGATGCAATATGCAGCTAAATCGGATTTTGACAAAAAGCTTTAGTCCCCCACATTTTAAGTTTCTCCCAAAAAAAGGAAGCAGGAACTCCTTTTGTATTAGCAGTTTGCTATTCACAACACAGAGGATGCATGCTTGTGTAAAGACAATTTAACTAATTCTCTAGTTTCCCAAGAGTGAGAGCTGCAGCACAAAATTTGCAGACTCCAAATCCTGTCTAGTTTCCTGTTTGCTGTTTCAACCATAGCAAAATAGTAAAGCTGTTAAGTTAATCTTCACATCTCCCTTCTCTCCTCACATCTGAGCTGGTCTTTTTCTTCCTGCCTTCCAAGCATCCTGGCAGGCTTCACACTTCCCAGGGGATAAACTGGAGCATAAAGCAAAAGCCACTTACAGAAATGTTAGCAAAGGCTGTTCCAACCATGAAATAGAAGAGCCTGGGATGGACCTCCAGGATGTCTGTTGGGGACATGAAGATCCACGTGGTGCAGAGCAGGAAGAGCAACACTGGGGATACCAGTGGCAGCATGATTTCATACATAGAGTGGTGCTTCAAGGTGTTATTTTTATAGGCCCTGAAAGGCAAGCAAAGACATGAAAATACCTGGAACCACAGCTGAGAAATACCTGGTCCCTGCTTTCAGGAGAGGGCTGCAAAATCTCATTGGCCAGTCTGCTACTCAAAACTGCTGGTATCAGTCATAACCACGGTTAGACGAGGAAGAGGCACACCTTGATTGTTAACCCAAAAAACCTCCGGAATTACAGAAGCACCTGGTTGTCTGGTTCTCTGGGTTGTGACCAACAGTACAAGCCTACAAAAGCTGGTGGCCCTTCTCTGCAAGATGCTGCTGAGCAGCCTGCCAGCCCCCTCCTCCCAGTGCACCCTGTAAACTGGCGCCTTCTGGTGTGTCAGACCCATTTTGCCACACAGAAAACAAGTCGTCTGACTACTACTAAGGAAACCAAGTTCTAAGAGACTTTGGGGGCTCTTGCAACGGTGCTAGTGCAGGGAGGGAGTCCTGAGGACAGAGAAACTTACTTGTAGAAGTTGTAGAGGCTCATCGGCAGTGTCACAGTGAGTGCACAAGCTGGAAGAGAAAAAGCTGTGTTACTGCCCCACAATAGAGGGAGACCATCATGTGCACCCCACAAATAGGCAGGTGGTTGTGCTCTGGTTTAAGTTGCTTGCAACAAAAATAGCTCAGAGGTGCACCAAGAATAGCTTGGCACGTTTAAAAGTAGGTGCTCATAATTCTGGTCCAAGAGCTGCAATTACAAGTTAAGGTCTGCTGTAAATTAAAGACATTTCAATTTTTAAAAGTTGCATTAATGAACCCAGTATTATGTTTTAATAATTTATGAAGTCTCATTATAATACCGTCTTTAAAGAGACACGAGGTGAGTTCAAACTCCACAAGTGTGGAGTATTCATATGTTAAGTTATACAACTGCCAAAGGAAAGCTCAGAATATCCACCTGATTAAGAAAAGTGCAATCACTAGATTTAACATTATTCAAGACATACTGACTTGAAATTGAGTAGCTACAATCAACCCCTAAAGAAAGGGACATAGACTAAGAAAAATTAAACCAAGAAAGAACTTCTGAATAAGCCAAATTTAATTAATCAAAGACAGCTCTCCCCAGCTAAGCTTCACCTACATTACTCTCCCCTTTGCAGTGGCTCGTTCTGACTGACCCCTGGAGAGAAAGGCTGGGCTTTTATTTTTTTTTTTTTTTGTTTCATTTTTAGATGGGTGGATAGAGGGCAGGTTCCCCAAACAGCAGAGTGCTTTTCCCCACCTCCATGGCTGTAACCTCCCTCCTGCAGCAGCCTCAGGCTCCCGCACAGTATTTGGGCTTTAGGTCCTGCCCCGAACATGCTGCAGGGCGAGACGGAGCCCCAAGCAGCAAACCAAGCAGGCTCTGCAAACAGCCCAAGTGCCAGGAGGTCCCCGCTGGCCACCAGCTCCCAGTACCCACCCACACACTGGGCTGCATGTTATCCCCTAAAAACTCCACGACTCTCGCTGAAAACAAACTGTGCTTCCCCTGGGCAACACAATGCCTGCAGCCCCAGCACTCAGGCAACACAGCTATTTAGAGGAGACGTATTTTCACACGCTCACAGGTCCCAGGAACGAGGGAGTCTCCTGTTTAGCATCCAGGGGCCAGCGCTCGGCTCCAGCTGCCTCCCAGCATCCTGGCACACCCGGCCCCGAGCAGCAGCCACAACCCTCAGCCGCTCTTCATCTGCCCGCTGTGCTGCTCCAGGCCAGGAACCATTTTGTGTCTGTCTGCACAAACCCTTAGCTGCGGGTAGGCAGCACCAGGGCTGATCCCCCAAGCAGCAGCATGCACCTATACCCTCAGGATTGGCACAAAATATATCTGAGGCATGAGCGCAGCACTCTGCTTCCTTGCCCTTTTGGTCAACACAGACCCAGGCAGACTGGAGTTAACTTCTCCAAAGTAACTACATGGAAGACAACAATACTTTGAAATCCTGGGAAAGGGCAGGCTGCTAGAACACCCTCAATTAGTCACTTCAATAACAGCCTACAGGAGCTTTCATTACAGCAAACACAACAGCGTTATCATATAATTAAGACATTGTGTTTTGTTAAAAAGGTGGAGTTTAAAAGACAGGCTTCAACATGGAGTTTCTTACCAATAATCATTGCAGTGAATAGGTCTCTATATAAGAAATTAAACAGGAAAGGTGCATACCAGGCCTCAACTCCCACAATGGCTGTCACTATGTAGACAATTGAAATGGTCTGAAAAAAAGCACAGGACAAGCAGGCGTGAGCAACTGGACGGGCAAGTCTGGCAGCACCCTACCCGGCAGCACAACACACGTGCCAGGCAGCTTCAGGGAAAGGCAGCTCAAGAAGTACGCTCTAAGCTACATCATGTTCATTTTTCCCCACTGGCAGGAAGGAGAAAAATAAAAAAAATCCAGAAACATCCCACGTTATGAGACCAGGTCTAGTTAAGTGTAGTAGCTGAGCTCCTGAGAAGGATATGACCAGGAGCTGCTCCTCGCAGCAGGAGCAAAGATGCCCTCCCACAGCTTGAACTCACAAAATGCTTGAAGCGTGAGAGGCGGCTTTTATACTACAAGTTGCAGTGACCCTGGAGGGTTTGTTCGGGGACTCTTACCCATCTGCTGAAGCAATTACAGGGAAAAAGCTAACAAGGGATATTTCAGTTTTAATAGTAACCCTGAAGCTGGGTGAAGCACACTGCAGGGTGGCTTAGCCCTCCACCCCCTGCCTTTCTGCAATAGGCAGAGATGTGAAAGCATTAGGGTTAAGCAACGCTTTTGGAAAAAGGGGCCAGAGTATAGTCAGAGGGGATCAGCTACAGTCTCCTTTTACCAGCAGAGATTATTATTGCAATTAATGCAGCTGCATTAATCGCACTCTCCTTCCAACCTGTTGCATTTCCCAGCCAGCATCTGATAAGCCAGAAGATAAAGGAGTACTATGTGCTGCGCAGTGCCATGAGATTGCATCCTGGCTAGGAAAGACAGCTGCCAGCAGCAAAGGTGAATTGTATCATCCAGAGCTTGCTCCCAGTTCTGATGGGCTCTTCAGAAAGAGCTTCCTGCAGAGGAGTCCTTAATGGGAGATGGACATGCCAACATACCAAAGGGTCCATCACTGCCAGTCTTAACATCAACTGCCTGGTTACCACGGTACAAAGGGGCACCTCCCCAGGAACCTTTGCTCCAGGCACAGTGATTAACGTGCCAATTAGATACTCTGCTACATTTTGGCACATATCCTGCTAGTGCCAAAAGGCACCCCAAACTTCTAAACTTGAACGTACCCACGTTTGTGTAATGCAGGAAACTAATTAGAGCAATGATTAAGGTGGCCAAAACATGCACCTTAGGATAGCAGAAACCAGGCAGAGGAAATACAAGGCAATATCCATTCTTCAAGCCTCATTTTTTGTGAAGAGTCCATCTACAAAAGCTACTCAGAACAAAATAAAAACCACACCGCACAAACCTCCTTAGATTTAATGGTTTTGAGCAGTCAATCTCTAGTGCCACATGACCCTGGCTCATTAAAGCAATTAAAGCTTAAAGTCATGCAAGCAGTCTTGGAAAGCTCTCCTCCTCCACAGTGCCTGGAGACAGGCTGAAGACACCCACCTCCAGAGAGTCTTGCAGTGACCAATTTACAAGGCTCTGGACACGTAGCAGAGCTGCATGTATCCCAGGCATGCTAGCAGTTTATTGAGCTTCTGCTGAAGCCGAGCAGCGGCTGCAGCGGCGTGTACTTACCACCTGGCTGATGTCATATCCCCAGGGCAGGAAGAGAATCCCTGTGTTATACTTCTCCCAGTGGGAGAGGATGAACGAAAACAAGACCACCCATAAGAGGAGGTAGAGAACGAAGACACTGACACCCGTGGAGCCCCGTCCAAAGGTGGAGTAGACTGTCACGACAAAGTAAACGCATGCCCAGCTATCCAACCCATGATCAAAGAGCTCTCCCAGGGGTGTGCTGGAGTTGGTCCGGCGAGCCTGTTTCCCATCAACACCATCTGGGAAGAGAAGGAGGAGAAATGGGGAGTTTTGCTGGACGCCCCCACACAAAGTAATCAGCCAGTTTGCAGCCAACAAAGTGTGCGCAGCCAGCGAACAGCAGCTTTCACTACCTCCATCCTCTAATGGGGAGTGCGCTTCCCACCCCCCTGCTCTATTTGAGACTGAAAAAATGCAATAGTCTGGCAAGATTATATTTATTTAAAGCAGACCGAAGACAGAACTTCACAATTCATCTCAAAGTCAGTTCCAGCATCCTCCTTTCACATCAGCTGCTCTGGGACAACTTCCTTCTATCCACTTTGCAAAGCAGCTCCCAGAAACTGCTCTAGCAGCCCAAGCAGCAATTGGATTAGTGCATGGCAGAAACCCAGAATCAAAAATTTCTCAACGGGCTCGGAGATAAGATGACACGCAGCCACAGCATGAACAGATGACAAACACAAACTCCCACAATCAACTAGATAAAGTCTTACCTAACGTATAGGCAATGAAGTTGAGGAGACCCACGACGACCCACACTGCATTCGGAACATGCTGGTGATCAGGGGCTACAGAGATCAGAAAGACCCAAGTCAGGACAGCTCAGAACGTACTTTCAATGGGTTTATTTTGGCACAGGAGGCACAGCAACAAGGACCGGCAGCTCACCAAGACAAAGCACCTACAGAACTCAAACAGTGAACTGAGATGTTAGCTTTCCAGGTGGTGATGACAGAGCTATTCCACAACAGCACGTGAAGCCAGGTCACCAAGGACTTTTCCAGGACATACTTGTCCTCCATCCCCAGCTCCCCAAAGTCACGGGATCTAAGAACTGGTGATGGCAACTAGCAACTGTAGCCCAAATGCATGACATGAAAGTGTGTGCAGATCAGACTCTCCTCAATCTCTTGCTCACAGAGCATCAAGGAGAGCCTCTTTGAGATGTGGCGACACTGCCTCTGCAGAAACATGTCAGGATTCCTGGCCCAGTGTCCAGTCTGCATCCTGCCAATTGAAACAGAGTTCCTCCTTAATAACATCTCCACCTCCTCCAGCACTGTTTCAGCAGATAACCAGCTTAGCTGTCTGCAACTCAGGGAGCCCAAAGGTGCATTTCAAAAAAGCAGGAACAGCTTCTTGGCAGCAGCCTCGCAGGAGGACACATGGAGGTCTCCTAGGGGGAACAAAGATTCCGTGAAATGCCACCTCCTGTTTCCTTAGAGCAGCATGATGGTGCCTTTCCAGCAGCAAATGGAAAGCATCATGTCTACAAGACCATCCAACAAGGAAGGCAGGCACAAGCTTCTGGAGGCCTCACCGGCAAAATGAAAAGTTCTCTTTCCAGGCTGGACATGCATAACACGTATGTAAAAGGGTCACAAAGCATGAGCTTCATCATCTTTTTGGCAGAGGCCAAGTTTCTGGACACCTGATGTCCTGGGGATTCTCACAATGAGCTTCCTTCCCTGAGCTACTGTCAGCTTTTCTTCCTGTGGCTCATGGACCAAAACACAGTCCAAATCTTAGCTAACAGCCACTGATGCCACCCAAGCTTTTGGAAGTCTGGCATATCAAGAACAGTACTTGTCTACCTACCAATAAAGGCAATCCCAAGAAACAAGTATTTTTCCCACTAACTGTGTTTTGATGATTGGCACAGTTTTAGAAGAACTAGAAGAACTCTTCTAAGCAACCTAAACCAAACCTGGCAGGGGCAAAGGGAGAGAAAAATATAAAGAGGAAGCCACTGATAAGTGAGAGTTATTATGAGGAAGGGAACACAAGTGAACCTTTGGATTCATGAACAGATGAACATGGGTACTCTTAAAAAGTTTAAAGCTGTACATATCCTTGTCTTATGCAGAATGGTGAAGCTGAGAAAGAGGATTTTGCCTTTGTTAGTCTGAATATGGTGCTAGCATGTTTTTGCAAGAGAGCCATTAGCTGGGATGCAAAGAACAAGGCTCCACCTGCTGACTTCAGGGAAGCAGCGTTTCCCACATTACCCTCTTAAGATTTTAAAATAAGTATACTGGGTTCTTGTCTGGTCTGTAAGCAGAGCCAGTTCCTACTCAATATTTTGGCTGTTTCCTCCTCCCTTGCCTGCATGCTGCCAGCCAGGCTTACGTCCACGCAGAAGTCGGAGGGAAGATGTCATGTTCAGACAAGTCCTCATCATAAAGCCCAGTAAGTTCAACCCCTCAACTCTGTCCCTCCTCTGGCACAGCCACCTGCCACTGGAAAGGCCCAGACTAAGAGGCCTTATCAACGAGCACCAGAAGTCACGGCAGAGGTGGTGACAGATTTCGCCACTCCAATGCTTTGTGTCCAAACAGGAACATGCAGCCTTACCAGAAGCATAAAAGTCAGGGTCGAAGTATGCCATGAGGAAGAAGTTGAAGACAAGCAGCAGGAAGCCAGAAAACGTTATCAAATTTGGGGCCAGCCAGGTAGGGAAGATCTATGGGAAAGCAGCAAAAGAACACATGAACTCATTAAAACATGTAGTAAGGACCACGTGCTGCTCCCTGCCATGGCACAGACCTGGTTACAATCGTCTGGGCATTAGACAACACTGCTTAGTCGCATCTGGCATATTACGGGGCAGCAGGAAGCTTCAGGCTGCGATGCAGTGAGCTTGGGGCAGGCTGCAGGCTGGAAGGCAGTGCCCTTTGTAATTAGTTGCACCACAGACAAGGCAGGGCTTTTCAGCTGACAGTTTTACAGAGAAGACTTTGTGGTGACTGGAGTTTTGCTGTCCCACTCGGGGTAGGACGAGGTCTCACCTTCACTATCGTGTTCCAGAAGGGATGCATAACGTACAGAGACAAGGGGTTGCTGTCCACGGCACTGTACTGTGAACGACAAGGGAAAAACAAAAAAACAATAGTTAGGGCTCCAACAACACTCACAAAAAGCCAGAGATCCCAAATATTGAGCTTTCCATGAGGACACCTGCTACCTGAGTGTTGGCATTGCAAGAACAGATGTGTCAAGGATGGAATCACACCCGGGACAGAGCTAAACCACCTGAAAAGCACTCACTAGCTCCAGCGACACTGGCCATGGACCCACAGAGGCAGCTCTCAGGTACACATCTCATGCCTGCACCCAATGCCTCCCCTCCGCAGGGAGCAGCCCCACAAGAATAGTGGGTAGCATGCCCATGGCAGTGATTTTTGGAAGGTGAGGAGAGACTCGAGGACACACAACCTTTTTTTGCAGCCAACTCTCCTGCCAGAGCCCCACACCTCGATGGCCGCAGGCCTGGTGGCACTCTTCACAAGCTGGAGAAGAAGCGACAGTCCCATGGCCCCAGGCACCCATGCCATGGGACCGATCCACCGAGGACAGCTTGGCATGCTCTTGCTTGAGCAACCCTATAGAGTCCTGCCCCACAAGATGAGCAGGACCAGGAACCTTCTCAGCTCAGCACCCAAAGGCGCCATGCAGAAGGGCAAGGGGAGACTTCCCCACCAACCATGAGAGCTGGGGCTGGTCTTCAGGCTTCTTAGCTCTCACACCCCGGCACCCCTTTTGCCAAAGGCTGCAGGAGGACAGCAATGAGCCCCTTTGGTGGGGTCCTGAAAACAGAAGACTGTTCTCTGACAGACAGAATACTAACGGGCAGCTTCAGGGGACACATTTCTGTGCTGACAGCTCTGAGCAACCCAGACACAAGCAGTGACTGACCCCAGAGGTCCTGCACAAGAGCTGGCATGCTTCAGTCAAGGACTAAGCCCATTGAGATGGCAGCTATTGCTGTCTCACCCATCTCCAGTCACTTGGAAGACTTTCTCCTCCCAGAAAGAGAGCAGATATATATAAGCAAGATCTTCAAACCCCTCCCTTGTCCTGCAGATACTCCAAAACACCACGTATACCACCATACCACCACACATCCACAGGTATCTCCAAATCCCACACATCCCGTCACAGTTTCAGGCATGGAGGGTCATTTGGCACTAAAGAGAGGTGCAGAAGCACCAGATTCCCAGTGCAGCCACGCAGGTGACCTCGGCTGGTTGGCAGGCACCATGGGACATGGGGCTCCCAGCCCCATCACAGGAGGTGGGGGCAGAGATTGGGTCCAGCAAAGGAGCAAAATGATCGTAGCAGAACAGACAACAGATTTCACTGTTTGGAGGTAGGACCCATGACATTTTTCCTTATTCAGTTAGGGCAGAGCATTTTGAAGCAGTTGCCCACTGACCTGGTGAAGGATCAGCATCTTGCTCCTTGCCTGTGTCCAGCTCGGCGAGCTGGAGTTCCCATTTCCAAAGGGAGAGGATTGGTGGGTGAACACCAGGAGGCCCACGGGTATCCCATGCCAGAGGGCTCCTCAGAACAGCTTCTCTCCGTTAAGGAGCTGAGATTTCTGCAGAGGCAGCTGCTGCCCTTGGTAAATGGGGAGGAAGAGGACTTACCCCTCATCCCACTGCTTTTAGGTCATTTGAGGTGGTCAGGGTGTGTATGTGGTGGGGAAAACAAAAACAGAAATAAAAATCAAAGACCTAGACAGTTTCCAGTTAACAGTTTCCAGTTAGAAAGTTAAAATTTGACATCATTTGGCTCTCAAGAGCACCAGGAGCTGTTATCTGCTCTCCAGCTCACAGCTGCTTCCTAGCAAAGATTACCCCGTCTAAAGTCCTCTTCCCCAAGTAACACTTTGATAAGAATCCCAAGAAAAAATTCATAGGCTACGAAATTCCTCAGCTTACATGTTTAGTGCCAAGCAGGGCAGCTACCAGCACTCACCCAGCCCAGGTGATGAACCCCACGGCTGGGACAACACCCAGCATCAGCACCTGCCACCACCTCACGTGACTCTAATCCCAGGTTATGAGCAGTGTTATGGAGAGCAATCAAAGCCTCCACCCCTCCTGCACCACCACGGATATAACCTATGCACTCTCTGAGATAAGAGCAGTTTGGCTGGTAAAAGGAAACCCATCAGCAGAGAGCGGCCCCTGGTCCCCACGCACCCCACGGCCTTCAACAAGCCACGAACTCCGCACCCACTGCTTTGTTCCTCCTGTGCTCCTCTCCTTGGCTGGAAACCCCATCTCGCCTGGAAGCTGGGAAAAAAGTGATGGGAAAGGGCAAAACAACACCCTACAAGACAGATGCTAGCACAAGGAAGGGGCACCAGGTCTCACCAGGCTCTGAGCACACAGGCTAAGAGCTTACAGCATTTGTTCCTAATCAGGTGAATCCCATCCTTGGCAAGCATTTCTGTACCCCTACCAGCTCCTCCCTGCCCTCCCCATGACAGATCAGTCCGCCTCCCTGGGGGTTAGCCCCGGCACTTACATCCCCATGCCAGCAAGCCCACAAGAGCTGCAGAGCAAGCAGCAACAAACACTGAGCTCAATGCCATACAGAGGCGAGGTTTAAGCCACAAGGAATTTCCATCCCAGCTTAATGCAATTTCAGGGGACAGAATTCCAAACGCTTTACAAGGTAATAGGATTTGAACCACTAGTTAGGGGAGGAGGAGAGCTGGAGACTGATTAAATCTCATTATCCCCAAAACAGCCTGGAACAAGAAAACAGACACAACGCTTGGAGCAAGGCAGGGGAAGTGCTTCGGAGTTTCTGTGCTCATGTTTGTAAGGTACCTCGGGGAAGTTTCCCCATGCCCATGTCCCGGGAAGCTTTCCCCTCTCCCCTCAAAGGCTGGGGATAATAGTCAATAAGCAGCTTTTTCCCCATGGTCATACATGTTCCCACCTTGCTTGGAGAACTCAAAGACCTGGAACAACCCATTTCTTGAGGGAGAGGGCAGCTGTTTTGCAGAGGTTTGCTGATACAATGACCCCAGCTCCAACCAGTCTCCTGGAGGGACACTTCTTTGCCTGCTGAACAAGGCAGGTAGGTGCTCTACGAGCTCAGAGGACACCAACAGACCACGGGAACCGAGCTGGGGCTGGCTGTGGTGCCAGGCTGCCTGCCACCCTAAGGGACGGTGCACCTGGGCATCCAGGACAAGGCTGCCTGCCCAGGACAGCTGCCTGCCAAAATACCAATGACCTGCCAGGAACCTTCAACTACAAAACTCAAAAACTTCCACCATACCTAGCCTCCCCACAACTGCTTTTTGTCATCTGGTTTTCTTCCTGCAGACATTCCGCCTTTTTACCTTTCTGCAGTAGCAAGAAGAGGGTCACAACCTGCACGGCACATGCACTCTGCAGAGGACAGCAAGCCAGCAGTGCTGCTGGGGACACTGGCAGTAAGTGAAGGAGGAGGGACAGGCAACACAGGCACGGTCATCACATCCTCCAGGTGTGGGGCCTCTGCGTGGTCAGAGCTGGAAGCAAAGCAAGCTGTAGAGACACTTCACTTGCAGCTCACTCCTCTGGCCACTCACCTTCCAGCCCACAATGTGGGAAGACAGCAGGTCACACCATGCTGGTGACAGAGGCAGCAGCCTATCCTTGAAGGAAGCCCTCAGCCAGGCTCCTCGTTCGTGCGTCAGCCCTCCAGGGCCAACATTTTTGGAGACTGACATTCCCAGAGAAATACAGGCTCAGGATATCTGTCTCGATCTGCCTGTTCATACATGCTTGTGCCTTGGAGCAAAGCTGAGGAAGGAGCCTGACAGCCCAAGAGCACCAGGCTGAGGCGTGGGGCTCATACTCCCCCAGAGCTCATCTCACACTCAGCTGCTGCGGTTACTCTGATGAAACACTCTCCAGGCTGTAAACACAGTGGTGTTTTAGCTCACCACACTGTCATTCCCCCACCTCATCCTCACTGCAAATTAGCGTCACCTTTTCCGTTTTGGATCTCCACGCATTGGTCTAGTGACTCACGCATGTGACTATTAGCCCTCTCTAAGTCATCTTTCTATCATGGCCGATGACTACCACCAGCTAGGACTGTTGATTTCTCCCTCATTTTCAGGGAGAGAACATCAAAGGAAAAGCATGAGCACACAGAAGGAATTCTGTATGCCTCAGAGCCTCCTTCTCAAAGGAGACAGACATTTGTAATGGGCCCTGCTCTAAAATAGCACTGTTGCATGCAGACACAGCTTCTCCTTACCGCTGCAGGAGGGAGGGAACCCAGCCCAGACAGTCCCCTCAGCATTTGGTTTTAAACTTCTTAAGAAAAGAGCAAAGCCAACTTTGCAGCAACAATCCCATCACTCACACTGTGCAGCAGCAGCCTCCCCTGTGCCCTGTCTGTGCCAGGACAGCCACGGGATCACTCAGCCCCCCGCCTGCTCCATCCAGCCACCCCACAGGGTGCCACAGGGCACCCCAACAGCCGGCAGACTGTCGGGGCTGCCCCGGTACTGCCACGGGTGCAGCAGTGAGCTGACTGGCATCGTTATGGGATTGAGAGACAGGAATGGCTCATACAACTTAAAAACAACATTAATCATGCAACCAGGATGTTTCTGGAAGATCCAATTATGTGTTCAAGGAGGAAAAAAAATACAGATTTATAGCCCAGATCCTACTAATAGCCTTCCTGTCAGAAAAAACAATTCTACTTTTAAGTAATCTGGTTACCCGGAGCCAGCAGCAGACCAAACGCTGTCGCATGGGTGCCCTGGGCGCACCAGTGTCAGACATCCAAACGGATCCAGGGTAGGCTGGGGGAGTACAACAGCACTGGTGGCACAGGCACCTGCGCTGCGGACAGCAAGCAAAGAAGGATTTGTACACCGTATTTTGCTTGCAGGCACTCCGGCAAGGTCCGTGGCAGCCTGGGCTGCTGGCCACAAGTTGGCATATCACTGCTTGCACTGGCAGAAGGAGCAGGGCGGAGAAAGCCTCAGCAGAGCAGCTCCAGCAAGTCCATAAGGCTGTTTCCTATAAATCTCCTTAAGTACAAAGA